CATGCCAGAAGACGCGGATGTAAATAGGGCTACAAAATAATAAAAATTTATTAGCAAGTATAGCAAGAATATCAAGAATAAATAAATAAATATCAGTTAATAGCATGAACTCGTAAGTACGTAGATGACTAAATAATACGTCTCAAACAGATTCGTGCGTATTATCCTTTCCAAACCCTAAACAAACATCTGCTTGCATGGATAAAAGCACCTGAAATCAGAATTTACACCTTTCCACCACCTCTTGCGTAGAGCGTCGTACACGGCGTCCACTTACTCCGGAACCGAAATCATCAGAGATAGCCGAGCTCCTCTTTCACTCATTTGAAGGGAAATATGTGTTTTGAAGGCACACTGAAGTTTCCGAAGGTGTATCCTCACAATGGCACAGAAGGAGTCGATTTTTCGGGTGGGTCAGAGGGTAGCGCGTCTGTGACCCATCTAAAATATCTCCTGAACTAGCAGGTCTTCAAGGAAACTGTAAAGCTTATTCTAAAGAGAAAAGATAGGGCGGTTTCAAGAACATTTTAACCTGATGAAATTGCGTTCGAAATAAGTAATCTTCGTGTGAAGCAAAAACCTGCTCGCCATTTACCCCTAGCCGATCCGAAATCTATCTGAAATATTTCAACGAACCGGGGGAACATTCCAGCGTTGCAGGAATGGGCCGAAACATACAAATTGCAACTAGGTAGAGAAAACGCAACAGTAGGAACATTCCCGTTGCATGCTGCTAACCATTCATCAAAAGCCGCGCCCCTCAAAGAGATATAACCCCCGAAAAGACCCCAGGACGTTGGCAGGCCCAACAACCGCGCTCCAGTGACGTTTTTCCAATAAAAGCGGGCGCAACGTCGAGATCGACAATAGCCAAATATGGACTGATATACTGCCGCCTGGTTATCCATTATCTTCATTTGGGCTCCGCATTTTTTTGTATTTTCATGTTTCGCTTTATTGTGTCGTGCATGTTTTCATGATTTCCCCGTCACCATCCATTGAATGCACATCTGGGGCCTGACGCGCTGACCTTAGGGCTATTTTTCACCAATTAAGCTATTAATGATCACCATTAGTAGCTCTTTCGATTGTGTTCCTTCTTACAAGTTGCATGTCATACATGGTTGTCGAACAACACGTGTTTTCATTTTGAAACCCAAGACAAAATTGAAGGTAATGCGAGGCTGTTGTTCAGCCTCATATTGCATGAGGCTGAAACAGCCTATTATTGCCTGGATTTTAGAGCAGAGTCCGCCTTTCGAAAATCCAGATTCCATTTCAGGAAGCCATTTGGTGTGACAATACGCACGAATCTGTTTGAGACGTATTATTTAGTCATCTACGTACTTACGAGTTCATGCTATTAACTGATATTTATTTATTTATTCTTTTATTCTTGCTATATTGCTAATAAATTTTTTATTATTTTGTAGTCCTATTCACATCCGAGTCTTCTGCAGCTTCCCACCTCCCCAGTGGCCAAGTACGCCCCCCCCCTATGGGTTTCGCACAACGATGCTGTACCCTGAGCGAGCCTACTTTTCAGGAAAAGAGGGCTGTTAAACGGAGCAAAGAATACACTCATAATAATTTTCATTTTTTAACATCTTGACTTCCATAGCTCCACTCCCACTATCAACTGAAATGTCGAAGCATTGCCCGGCTCTGAGTGACCCTTGAGATTACGACCCCCCCCCCTCCCCAGCGGCCAAGTACGACCCCCCTATGGGTTTCGCACAACGATGCTGTACCCTGTCCATGCAAAACCGCAGCCGCGTCATATCAATCTCTTCACTGCATACTTCGCAAATTAAGTGATACGAGCATCAAAATCGGTCGGACATTTGTGGGCGGTATGTCGCGGTGCGTGTCCGGGTCGGTGTCTTGCCGCTTGATAGGGTGCTGTAAGCGTACCTTTCTCAAAAAAAGCGCCCCACAACACCCTCTCAGGAAGACCGAACTCTGTCCTGCTAGGCGCATCAATCATACACGTCTTGGGCATTTATGGTACCACTTGCCTTCAGAGATACAATGTAGGAAGAACTTTGGCTAGTGGATTCCAAACGATTTCCAATTCCAAAAGAGCAAAGAAATTTCAAAAAACACCACAAGTAGGCCCCGGGTTAATTTTTATTGGAGAGCATACAGTGGGTGGAGACACAGAGGCGCTCATCGCATGGGCGAGACCAAGAAACCATTGGCGAGAGCCACGCAACCACAATAACCTCAGTCGTAACAAGAAACTTGATGGGAATGCAATGCAGATGTTCTACGATTATGGTTAGAACACATATGCGCTGCTCAGCCATCAGAACTTCCTTGCGCTCTCGCCACACATTTTCGGGTGGCAAAGTCATACGCCTTATATGGCTGGGGGATCTCTTTACACGGGAAGGATCCCGCATCTGTGGTGATCGTGTTATGTGCCCTTTAGGAGAGGCTAGTTGGTGAGACTTTTCGGTTCCCGGTTGTCGAATTAACCAGTAAAACAAGATATGATCCGGTTGCATTTACCTCATAGTCTGCTCGCTGAACTTGAGGTTGATGAGAAGGCTCCTCATTGCTCGGTAGAATTTCAATCCTGGTATGTGATTGCTGAAGAAAATTCTTGAAATAATGGAAACAATCCTTCAGATCTGTTGGAGGATCTCTCACTGACCAGTTCGTTCAGTGAGAGTCTCTCTGTTTCAATCGACCGGACAGCAAACAAGTTCAGAAAACTAAAGAAGCGCCGTATGACAAGAATCAGTAAGAGCTGAGGGAATTTTCCTGTCGACTTGGAACTGAAAATTCCTACTACTGCGTTCTTACCCCAACTCATGCTCACTTTTCCTTGGTCAGTCGCGGTATACGCGCTGGAGGTTGTTATCACAGTGCTCGACCTTGGCGAGCCTTTGTCTCAGGGGAGCATTTCCGCGAAGTTTTTGTCAATACTCAGCACGATTCCTCGCTCCACCTACTTGCGGGCTGATAATTCACCTCTGATTGTGAGATTTTAAAAAATCCGAACAAGACATAAGTTTACTCACCATTATCGGAGCCGTGGTCATGCTTGATATCGCACCATTAATATCTGGAACGGAGCCGGTGCTTATCCTATTCTTTTTGGTTAGAATGGGAGTTCTTGCACTTGGTGCGCTTGGTCTCGGTGGAGCGATCGGTTTGTACATGGTCCCTGGAGATATCTGTTTTGGAGGTGCGGCTGCAGGTTCGATATCCTTGGGCTCATCGCTCGTTCCATTCACCGTCTCACGTTTTGCCAGAGGATCGAGCTGTTTGAGGAAGTCGGAGACCTCAAAAACTGATGGCGTCTGCAATTCAATTTTATGAGGCGCTTCCTGCTTTGAGCTTGGCTTCTCAGCTGAAATCGGTTTCACTGCAATTGGTGTGAACAAAACTTCATCAAATTGCTCCTCTTTCAGCGGAGCAGTTGGCGGTATGTCAGCTCTGGCCCTTTTTGTTGGAGTGTAGCGAAGGGGTGGAGGATAAGGCGGTGGTGGTGCTGGGTGAAACTTCATTGGTGGTGGTCCAATAGGCGTGTCGTATAGTCCAGGGGTGTATTCGTAATTTATATTTGGAGGTAGATTGGGTGGATTGCTTGTTGGTGGTGGAGGCATCACTTTGGGCTGCAGTTCAACTGCCGGTACGGCAATCTTCACGGCTGTGTGTTCCTGATCCGTGATTTGGGACGCTTCTGCAATGTCGTCGATTATCCGTTGTTAGTCGAGTTCGGTCGAATGAGTCTTTCTTGTCATCCTTCTTCCGATTGAACACGTTCAGCTCCAGCCATCGTTGTTTCTCCTAAAAATACCATAGATAAGTCAGAAACATCGAAGATAAAGATGCCAATAATAAGTTTAATTTGTTAACATTGACCTTAGAGCGTCTTTCACCTGTCGGAATACCTGCAAAAGCCTAGTTCGTTGAGCTGAATCGACGGCCGGGGTCAGGTTAGCGTCTCCGGCCTGGCGCCGCTCTCGAGCCGAACGAGCTTTTCTATCCTCCTCCAGGAAGCGTTGGAACGGTTACCAGTTTTCATCTGGGACGATAAGAACACCGACTCGCACATCGGACATCCCAGTCAATAGGGGACGGTGTGAGGAGGGTGAGAGACCCGCCTTACTTACTTACTCTACGAACCAGTTTACCTCACGGAATGGCGAAGGGACAGTGATCGTTTCAGAGAAGAAACAGAACAGTGGGTGGAAGCGCCACAGGAATCGCTGAGGCATTGTTCACAGCCTGCAACCCTGATGAAACAGCGCTTCGACGAAAAGCAACAGATGCGTATCGACTCCGCTGGCTCCACCCTAGAGAAAAACGCGAGGGCGGTCGGTCCAACGTTTTTCGCCCAACCGCTCCGCCGAACCGCCTGTCGATACATATCAGAACTGTTTCGCCCAGCCGCCAATCAATACGTATCGAAAGCTTTTCGCCGAAGCGTTTCTTCTCTAGAGAAACGCTGGGTCGCAGACTGTGAACAATGCCTGATTGCGATTTTATCAACTGTATAGACCATATTGCATTGAGTAAGCCGCTGCGATTCTCAGTGGAAATGGAATGCATGTCGCACACTAAAAAGGAACTGATCAATAGCGAAGGCAGTATCCTTTTACACCTTCATACAGCCTCGCATAAGGGTTGAAGGCATGGTCGTAGAGTTGATATTGTCGCGATCAGTCGAGGCGGTGTCAGGAGGGACGGAATGAGCCCGCTCTGACTGTATTTTCTACCAATAGTGATTGGTCCTGCTCGATTCAGGTACAAAACTACTGGTGGCAGACTAGTGGTAGAGAATGCCGCGAGTAGGCTCATTCCATACTTCTTGGCGCCCCGACTAGTTGAGACGATATCAACTGTTCGAATACTCTAATTAGCGTCCAACAATTTAATTCCTAATCTCATTCGAGGAAACGGTGGGTCCTAGATGATTGCTTAAACTTCCAACGAATTCGCTAGTCACCGAAAAGAGAACGGCCTGACGAGGTATACCTGACCCATTTTTGAACAACGCATTTTCATGACAAATTATGTACAAATAAGGATTTTCGAGGAAATTCCTCAGCGAACGGCTATGGGACATTTATTAGCGCCTAATGAATTACTCGGTATCAAAAATAATCGTAGAATACAATTACAAGCTCATCAGCTCTCAGCCCACCTGCGATAGTGCCACTAGCGCGCAGCCCTGGCACTCCATTGAGGGAGCGTTCACTGTTCGCGATTACGCGTGCCTATGCACTATTGCGCGCTTGAGGCGTGACGTCGCGTCTTTACGTGCAACCATTGCAGTGGTACTCCAGTGCTATAGACGAAGACGCGCATAGACGGGTATCGATCGGCACCGGCCGCTAGTGTTTTGGATAGTGTATAAGAATAGGAGAGTACCAGACTATGAGATTAGACAGCGAATACCCTCCTATTATCTTATACTATCTCAAAACACTAGTGGCCGGCGTGCCTCTGCAGCTGCATTCCCGTCTGGAGCGCTATTGGGATGGCAGCGCGTCGCAGCGCGTTGGAGCGCGTCCTGGCAAAGTCTGGACACTGCCTTAGGCTGCTGCCGACAAAAATGTGTTCTAGAGCAGAAGCAGGAGCCTGTTGCCACAGTTCAAAAACGAGCTCAGGTCAGCTACGCACTTTGGCTGATCAAGTTGCTGCTATATCTTGAAAGTCACAGGGATCACTAAGCTTTTTGGCGCACGGAGTAGTTCAAGTGGATCAAGGGCAAAGACTTTCTGTCGTAGGTGTATCCCATTGCTCATTCGTGCCGTTTTTGCCAACGAAATGGTCAATTCTTCCTGATTAGCGTCAAACAAGTCCGGTTACAACGAAACTGACATAAATAACGGTCGTTATCGTGATTCGCACCGTGACTTTCAAAGGGAAAAACTCACCTTGTTAGTTGGCTTGTCATAGATCTCCTGTTGATGGTCGTTGACAACGGTTTTCTTCGTAGGACGATATTCATCGATAAGGCGGCGGAAGGCTGATACGTCTCGCGATGTCTCCTTCGGCTTTAGTCGCTTCCGAAGAGCATTTCGAATCTCTCGCATCGCCTAAAGGATTCATTTTGGAGCGAAGTGGGAAGCGAAAGGGTTTGAGGGTCACTAACGTCATCAACGTCTACTGCCGTTGCTGAGTAGATATTGCACAGTTTCCACAGGTTGATATACTCTTCTTTCTTAAAATCCATTTTCCGTAGATGCCGAGAGCACTTCATGCGGGCTCGGCTTAGATCCTCAAGCTTCTTCACCGGGAGATCAACCCTGAAAAAAATTTGTCATAAAAAAGCCTCTCTCCCATGAATGACATCGGATCCTTTAGACGAGGGTGCTTCGAACCTCTGGC